GGGGGGGGGGGGGAGACCAGAGGTCTCAAAATGGTGGCTGGTAGACATATTATGTTTGTCCTGCACAGAATTGTATTACAGTATTTTACTAATGTTTTTAATTTTTTATTGTGAAATTAATTTATACTTAGAAAAACTAACAAAAATAATACAGTTTCCACATACTCTGCACTCAGCTTCCCCAAAGTTAACATCTTACATAACCATAGTACAGTTATAGAACCCAGAAAATTAACATTGATACAATGCTGTTAATTAACCTACATGCTTTTTTTCTTGATCCACAATATTTTTAAATTTTATAGTTAATTGCCAACTTTTTAAAAAATTTATTTTTAAATTTTTACTGATTATACACAGTCATAGGGCAAGAGCTGACTGTCATCACCTGTGCCCAACTTGTGGTGAGCAAATCAATGCTATCAGCATGCCCCCCACCTCAAATTGCAATTATTCCCCATGTCTCCCACTCAACCTCTCTCCAATACCCCTCTCCCACCCTCTTATTCCCCACCAACATTTTTAAATGTAAGAGATTTCCCATAACGTTTTAGATTTCAAGCTTTTCTTGAAAAATCAGATCTGGCAGCACTGGGCCTATTTTCCTGCAAGGCAGCAATCACTAGAGTTGAGCAGGTGTATCCTATAGAAAGGGCACGTGCTCTCCATTTTGGCGCTATACTTTAACTCCCCGATACAGAGACTAAATATCAGGTGCTATTCGTCACTGAACTGACACTATTGTTTTTCTTACAATAGAATTATGAGGAAAATGTATGTTGTCATGCCTGTGTCTATCAAAAGTAACAAAAATGAAAGGTAGAAGAAGAGGAACACATGCTTTGAGAAAAATGAGAGAACCATAGTTCTTTGTGGAAAAGAAGACTATTCCTTATGTGAAATATGTGAACAGTATGCTTTTGTTTAAAAGAGATACCCCCGGTTTTGCTCATTTATATCACTGGCCTGGCCTCTGTATGCGTTTGAGTTTCCAAACACCTTACACAGATCTTATCCTAGAGAAGCTTTGGTGGGGAAACAAGACATTTACAAGGGTACTTCAAAAAATTTGTGGAAAAATAGAATTAAAAGATAATACAAATATTTCCATGAACTTTTTGAAGTACCCTTGTATTTGTGGAAATTTAAGCAACAATTATACAATAAATATACAAAAATATGTTAAGATGCTCTAGATCAATTCGACCTCTGCCTTAACCATTTCCAACACCTAGACTTCCAGAGGCTGCTGGAGAAGATTTGCAGCCTTGCAGAGTGGGGTCAGCTCCTTATGCCATTGCCCTATGCAACTCTTCTAAACCTTCAGTACTTTCCTCAAATTTCTCCTCCACTACTCCCCATCTCATTTTCATTTCAGTTGATTGCACTGCCTTCTATTTCTCAAAGAAAAGACATCACTGAGTAGTAATCCTTTCACATTCTCAAATCCATGCCTTTTTTGCTCATGACCTACTTGCTGCCTCAGTTAAAGATTTGCCCCTTTATGGGATACTATCCTATTGCCTCAGAAATCTTGCTATTAACCCCGTCTCCTCTCATTTCTTCAACACTCACTCTGCTGGCCCTTTTCTTTCCACATAACAATCATGTATAAGCCAAATTCAACATTTAAATGAAAACAAACAAACAAAAAAATCCCTTTCAGTCTTACTTTCCATTCTATGTATCTCACCTTCCCCTCACAGCCAAGCAAGTTGAACATGTGTCTGTGGTTAATGTCTCCACTTTTTCCCCTCCCATTTTCTCCTCAGCCTACTCCAACTGGCTTTAGCCAGCATCACTGAAAACTACTCTCAGCAACACTAGTACCTTCTTTGC